TACATGGAGAAAATAGCATTGTCAATATTAAGAATGCAATAATCGATTAACAAAATAAGACTTTTTTCTGTCGTCATCTAGGTCATTCATCCTCATGCAATGATTTTTTCAGTAACAATAATAATAAAACACAAATCCAGTTCCTTTATTTCATTGGGTTTTTCAAGTTTTTCCTTTTGTTTATCACCGAGTTTTGGTTTTGCTGTGGCACCATGAAGTACTTGGGACTTTCTTTTCATACTTAAGAACAGATTTCCAGTTTGGAGTTTGTTTATTATTCAGGTCATGATGTGCTGATGGTCAGTGCTTGTTATGCCAAGTTGAGAGGAAGAGCCATGAGCTCTCTCTCACTTGGAAATTTGCCCAAGGCAGCAATCATTCTTCAGTTTATGCTACTAGAATTGTTTTGTCTGTACAGGTTTGCCAAACACGTGGTCAAGATAAAATTACATATTTTTCCTTGAGACTTTCCTGGTGTTAGTGAAACTTGATTGTTACAGTAAAAGCCATGGTCAGAGTCTTTCCTTTTTTACCGTCCCTTTGGCTTAATTTCTTTTTCTGCTACGTGGACTTAACAGCTTGTCTAGTTGTTTTCTCTTCCATAGTCTCCTACAATAACCAAATGCAAAGTATGGTAACCAATTCATGTTTAGGTCCCTGGGATTGCAAGGGAATGTATAAGCAAGAAAAATAGTATCACTGTATGGATTACAGGATTTTTTCAGTGCTGCTGCCATGTAAGACAATATAATTAGAGTCTGTAAGTTTAGCACAAACTTGCTATTGATACTACATTTGCAAAGCAAAACCTGAATTTAATCATATCCATTTTTATTCTAATTTTTTTTCTCCTTCTATTTTTCCATGTAACTGTAATCTAGTAATTCTGGGTAGTGGTAATAAAGCCCACTGCAGAATACATCATACGTATGTAACTTGAAGCAATTGGAGAAATGACCCTTAGTATTTAAAATTATTAATTGTATCTTTTGAGCAGACTTGAAATGTACTGAGAAACAATGTTTGATTTTTCTGTCCAAACACATGAGTAATTGAATACTTTGAATGGTATGTTTACAAAAACACCATCCCACTACAGATACTTCTAAAAGGTCTTGATAGTGCTATGAACCATTACTACTGTTAGTGTTTGTACTCACATAGTGTGTAAAAGTCCCACCTGAAGTGAAGGCTCGTGGAACAAGGTGCTAGATGTGAGACTTCTGGCACAAGATAACTGTGTCACTTGCTCAAATATATCGTTTTGGCTTAACAAAACAAAGGGATAAGAATGATGATACTTCTTTTCATCTGTTGCAAGAGCAGAGTTGTACAAAAGAGAAGATAGGTAAGCATGCCACAAGGAGAAATGGCTATAAACTGTGAATTTACATAGATTTGAAATGAGAGAATGTTTCTAGTTATGAAAGCAGTGTTGTCATTTTAGAATGAACATCAGGTTTTAAAAGGGATTACGTAATGTGATTGATCAAAAACATTAGAAGCACTAAACAGACAAGGAGTTTTATTCCAGCTCTGTGATCTCTGCCAGTTGGAGAACTGGAAATAACTGTCACCCTCTTGTCACTCAAATTTACATGTCCCACCATGAAACTGTGATGTAAAAAAGGGACACCCGAAGGAGAAATTTTAACTTTTTAGAGTTTTGTTGCCTCATGGTTGGATCACTGGGATCAGCACGTATAACATCAGCTTTACCTTGTATTTGCAGTGTAATAGTAATAAACAAATTTTGATTCACAGTATTTTACCAAAAATCTGATAAACTAGGTCACTTCTATTTTTAACCAATTCAGCATCAAAAGCTTAATGAATGTAGTAACACAAATCCAGAAGTAATGAAATCTGAACTGATACAAATCCTATTCATGTAGAGAGGGGTAATGGTGGCCTGACCTGGGAATAACTTGTTCCAAGAAACATGTTTCCATCTCCTTTTGCTTGGGCTGTGCAACATAAACTTTTGCTTTAGCTGTAGCTCACTTGCAGTATAGAGGATCCATTTGTTCCCTTAGTTCTTGTCGTCTCCAAAATCCATTTCTCTAGGAATAGCCATGGTTGTCTGAGAAGTCTGAAGGACAGGGAGAAAAACTCTGAAATTCATGTGCAGAGTATTTGCTACAGTGTTTAAATAGTGAGTGCTGATTGGTTTGCTACAGAGAGGATTCAAGTTTATCCACAGTGTCAAATGATTCCTCTGGAGACTTGTACCTCTGTAGTAGTTCTGCAAATTACAGCCTCATTGTGTTAACTGATTGCACAATGGCATTGGTATTGTGCTGGCTAAGGCTCCTTATTTCTCAGTGGGGTTGGCTTAGGTTTTTTTTCTAAGGAGGATTTTGGAAAGTGAAGAGAGGTGAAAAATAATTTGGGGATGAAGTTGTATCTTTTCCACGTAATCTACACAGGAATTGGTTGTACATGATTCATAATTCTGTACAGGCATTTAGGTCAGGGTGTGGGATTGATGTTTTCTTGTGAAAGCTGAGAGAATGCAAAATTCTGTCTCAGTTGTTTTTTTTTTTTTTTTTTTCATCCTAATATATGCATCCTCAGCGTACCGCTATTCTTAGAATCTTTGACATCATGATCTACTCAGGCTGATTTTCCTCTCTTCCAGGTTGCTTGTCTAAAAGTTGTGATAACCCTGATAAGTCAACACAATCTCCTTTATTTACCAAACTGGGAAGACTGTAGAAAATTCAAGCTGTGGGGAAGTTGTATAGATGGAGTATGCGCTTCATGCTGCACTGCACAGTACTCTGATGCTTTTCTGGTCTCATAGTGCTCACTATCCACTTTAAGATGTTTAAATTTTTCTGTCTGGTACTGAGTGGATTTAGAAGAGTATGCTTGTCACGAGGCAGTAGGGTAAAAGAGAAAATCCAACCTAAAGTAATGGTATAATTCTCCCACATATCTGCACAGTTGAAACAGTCCATTTTCTTGCCTTATTTTATGTCTTTTTTCCCTTGACATTTTTTTTTTTTAAAAAAAAAGGAGCTCTGCTGGAGTCTCTGTGCATTAAAGGCAAGATAAACTGGTTTGTGGTTTTTTTTTTTTTTACTTTCCTGACATTTCATGCTTCCAACAGGACTTTTCCAGGAGAAAGGCAAAGTCAGTATTCAGTTGTTTGGGAAAAGATGACTTGGTTACAGATACTTAAACAAGCCGAAACCAGACAGCTTAATTGGTCACATGAGGAAAGCAAGATACCAAGGTCATCCTCTCCTTCCATCATATGGCATCCAAGTGACCCTAGACATCTGATTATTCTTTTTCTCTTGGCTTGCCTCTATGTTTAGCTTTGTAGTTTCTATTAATAGCACCCAAAATGGATGCTGTGTGAGGCAGGCAAAAGTACCTACCCACAGTGTGTGAAGGCAGACGTTCTGCCATGGGAGTGGAGGAGAAGGCATTGAGGCTCAAGTGCAGATGTTCCTCCAGCATTAGGGAATTGGTTGTATAACAGGAAAGATAGGCAGGGTTGCTGGCTGTGGGGTGGCTACAGGCTCTGGAAAGTCTATGGAGAGAGGATCAATCTTCTGGCAAATTGAACGTATCCATCAGGATTGTCTCCAGGAATCCATTTTTGTGTTTGCAGGAAACTGTACATTTTGTGTTCAATTCTGCTTGAAAAGGTTCATCTTCAGACAATGAACGTGGACCCATGAATTCTGTCTGTGTGTCAGGCTGGTCTGTGACTTCCAAACTTTTGAGTTTTCAACTCTTTCACGCAGCTCTTATTTGCTGACCTGCCTTCATCAGATGAATGGCTTTGTGGCTCTGAAGAGAATAATTATATTGGAAACCATTTAATGATATATGTCCTGCAGAAAATGCTTCAAGAGTGACATATCGGTCTGCTTTTTGGACCTAAATGTTGTTAACGTAGGGTGAAGAGAACTCTCAGGGAAGTATCTGTTCTTGTACACCAACATGAAGTTTTACCCCAAAAACCCCTTTAGTTAGGTGAGAGAGAGCAGACCAAGAGATGCCACTTAAAGCTCTTTAAAATAGCCAAGTCTGAGTTTTAGTATTTTCAAATACTTGAATACCATGGCAACAAGAGCTTCAATGCTTGAGATAATTGGGGACAGAATTCACATGCTTCCCTAGGAGGAGGCAATAGTCCTCTGAGAGTTTTGAAGTGGTCTGCAAATCAGAGGCAGTCATGGGTGCTTGTTAAAGAGAATTTCTCTCCCCAGACCTGACCTTCCCAGTTACTAGCCCACAACCAGAGCAATTTGCAGTTCCCTATTCCCTCTAGCACATTCCCAGATCTGTGTGGGGTACATCTTATTGGAGTACATTCTAATTAAAGCTGCTGTGTCTGTGAAAACATTTGCTGGGCTACAGCAAAATCATGCTTAACTCCAGACAAGATCTAAGATGTTGGCTTTTAAAACGTGGAGTTCCAGTCAACCAGCAAAGCTGAAAGTGCAGCTAACTGAGAGCGCAACTCTTCGTACCCAGACCATGATGAGAATTATGGGCAACCCGTCCCAATCTCAGAACCAGCTACATAAATGTTATTTTAGTGAGACATGCAGTTTATTGCTTGTTCTTGAGAGGGATCAGATATTGTAACTAGCAAGAAGAGCAAGGGCATGCTGGCATCTTGGAACTGGATTAAGTTCCACCGTAATCAAAATTTGCTAAACCTGGGAGAATCTCCACCTCTCTTGCTGGGGTTATGAAAGGCGTGGCTCCCTGAGTAAGGAATAAAACATTGGTTTTGGTGATTGACTGTTTTAACATAAGGACGCTTGAAGACTGTCAGGTGCTTTAATCAAGGAGCTGCTCAAGTGTAGCTGTCCTCTAGACACAGGTGACATTCCTGTCCCAAAGGTAGCAGAACTTTGACAGTACTGTGCCAGTGGTACATAAATTGGTTTAATGTTCTGTCTTATTAAAATGGTGGCATCATTTCTCCCATTTAATTTTCTAAAAGACATAATTTACTCCTTTCTTAACAGCACTTGAAAAGAAAAGAAAGTTCAAAGGAGGTATTTCCCTCTGTTGGCTCATCTTCACCCTACCTCTCTCCCATTCTGCTTCCTCCTTATAATCCCCAAGTGAAGATGAGTAGCATGCTGCGAATATGACGTCGCTGACTAGTGTCATTGCCTCCCACCAGTCTGAGTGGGTGTCCTTCACTGATGAGCTGCTTCTCCCTGTTAACCCGCGAGGTAAGCTACCTCTGATTTTTCTTTGAACTTTGTGAGAATTTGTTTGAATTAGACCAACTCCTGTCATGTATCTAGCATCACAGAGCTTGTCTTCTGAATGGAAGCAGTATGTGCAGATGTTGAATTATCTCCTGCTACCCCCTATGTACTAGGAGAGTTTGGGTCAAAAATGTAAAATACTCTGCTAATGTGAGATTTCCTTAGAGTAGATCTATTACAGGGTTTGAATCTGTCCTTCAAGATTCAAAACAGTATCCCAACTGACGATGGAGGAAGTCTCACCTATTATAATCAAGTGCAAAACTATGTCTGGTGTTAATCTAAAAACTACATTAGGTGAAGGAAAATTTTCTACCTACATTTAATAGCAAATTTTAGATATTTCAGGAAAAAAAAATGAAGTAATGGTGAGTCCTACCAATTTTTCTTTTTTGTCTCTATTTTAGGTAGCACTGAGGAGCCTCTGGAGAAATGTTTTTCTTCCTCAGACTCCTCCTCAGAAGAGTACCACAATGCAGATGGAGAATTTCAAGATCTCTCCCACACAGAGCTGGAAGATGCTATTGACCAACCCAAGGTGGATCCTGCTGCGCTTGGGAGCCATGTGTGTCCCAGCACTGATCTGTCATCATCCATCAGTGCTTGGGTTCAGTTTGAAGATGCACCATGGGCCAGTGCTCCATCAACACACTCACAAACAGGTGAAGCAAATGCACGAAAAGGTCCATTCCAGTAACCGAACAGAATCCAGTGAGAACCTACAGGATTTGTTTTCCTTGCTCTTTGATCTCTCAGAGCTTGGACTTTGGCTAGTTTGTTCTGTATTTTAACACAAAGTTATCAGAGTTTCAAAAAGGGCTCATAATTTCATTCTGGGTTGAACTAGCAGTATTTTGTTTTTGTAAAGAAAATGAAAGGCTTCTATTTATTTGTTGATTATTCTTCTTAGTTGTAAATACTTACTGATCCTGCTGATAAGGAGAGAAGGAAGAGCACCTGTAACTGTAAATCTGTAAAACTGAGGTTCTCTACCTCTCTATTATTTAATTTCATGGTTAGGTGATCCTTACTCATACCCATACAGCCACATACTTTTTCAAATGGAGCTGTTGGTTGCTCTGACACCATATTTCCTTCCTAATGTTGTGATGTCCTTTTTGACTACAAAACTTTAAGTGCACCTTCTTATTAAACAAAAAAAAATCTTTGCTAAATAAAGCTAGCAATAACAAAGAGAATTCCATAAAAATAATTTAATGGTATATTATTTGATTTCCCATCCTTAAAGGTATGTGGCCAAGTCTTAAGGTATGTGCTTAGGAAAAGCACTGCCTATTGGCTTGTGTTTTCAGTCACAGGGGGCATTAGTTTGTAGGCAAAGGTCTAAAATATCCAGAAGAGGTGATCAGAGAAGACTTTCTAAAACCATTGTGGCTTTGAAGAAGGCACTCATTTGTGCCCCTGTAAAGGCTTGTCCTAAGTGATCCATGCCACTGGGGGTTATTTACACACTGAGTTTTACTGTCTGACTGAGATTCATGGAGGAGGATGGTTCCCCTGGCAGTCAGATCAGGATGTACTCTAATCCTTCCGTGGGAGACTGTTATACTGTAACTATGTAGGAACCCTAAGGAGGTGATGTGGATATTTTAAAATCCTTGTTAATGAGTTAGTCCAGCTCCTATTCTGTTCCCTGTATTATAAATGGCCAGACCAGTGCAGCTGACAGCCTCTAAAGGAAAGGTCATGGGGCAGAAGAGAAGGCAGCTCTTTGTCTTTGACCCTCTATTCTGAGGAACTCTTGACAGCGAGAGGTAGGATAAACTTGAGCCTTGTTGTTCTCAATTAATCTGCAGGTCACGTCTTTTTTTTCTATGGGCGGTAGCAGAGCTGGCGACTTGGTGTTATAACCGTGATACGCTGACACGCTCAGCGGAAAGCCCATGGTGACAGCAATTATTCATTTCCAGTAGCAAACAATAGCAAATAGCCAGACTGGGGGGGCGGGGGAAAGAGTGTAAAGGCCAAGTATGGACAGACGGATTGGTGTGAGAAGGATGGAGACGTTTGAAATCTGTTTCCTGTGCAGGCAGCTGTGAAGAGCAATGTTCTGAAGGCTCAGCACCCCCGACTGCGTTCCTGTCAGGGCTCCAGCACTGTGAGGAAATCATCTGTCTGTCTGTCCATGCTGAAGCAGCTGCACAGCTGACTAGATAATTGTACAGGCTGATGGTCAGGCTGCCTGGAAACACATTTTGAGAAGGGCTTGCGAAGTGGCATTTCAAGAGTGCCATGGGAGCAGAGAGGATGGGCCCTAGGAGAGAGGGATGCTGTCTTGCCCTGACCTTAGGGCTACAGTATTTTTGCACAGGTTTCCATGAAAGCAAATCTTTGTCCCAAAGTGCTCGCAGTCTAAAAAAAAAAAAATACTAATTTAAAGACAACTGCCATGTAGTGTTATTCTATAGGAAATACATCTAAAAGAAAACCAAGGCTAATGCTGGACCCTTGTTGTCCTGGGAAAAGTGAAGACTTTACTGGGGGAGCAGAAGTTAGAGGGACTGATAGCCAGAAACAGGGCTGAGAACACGGGCAAAGGATTCAGATGGTGAGAAAAAAGATCAAAATCTGTGATACAGAAATGAAAAGCACACATTGTGAGCCTCATAGTGGATATGATCTTTATTTAGCACATTCTTGCAAACCCTTCATTCTACCAGGTTCAGGCAGAGTACATGCTAGGCAAAATCTTTCAAAATACTTCTGCTTTTCAGGTTTGTGCATAGATAACTCACAGCTGCCCAATCATGTGGATTTCTCCCTGTGAAGCAGTAACTTTTGATCAAGGCCACAGAAATACAAAGTCACAGAAATGATGCATTGTTGCACCCTTTTCCCTGTTTTCCTTTTGCTGGGAAAATAAGTTGTTTGATTATTCTCATAGTTACTGTCAGGCTAGCCAAACTGATACTGCAACAGTGAAAGAGATTTTTAGGCTCACCCAAATGTTCCTATCACAAACGTTACATAATCTGTAAATGATCACAGCCAGCCCGTGGCATAACATTTGCATTTGTTACACAATGGGCCTCCAGCTTTCAATCTCATATTCTATTGGTGTTAGCTGCACTGTTGAATTCAATGAGGTATTCAGCAAAGCACCAAAATTAGAGCAAAGCAAGATCTGTTACATCATCTGTTCCACACATCTCCTCCCCCCAACCCCCACACCTCCACAGCTTCTTCCAGAGAGCTTTGTCTGGCTTTAAATGGCTCAAGTAACTTAGACTCCTACCATGTCCCTTGAGAGGTTATCCTGCAGTAAGGCAGATCTCAATTTAACCGTTTTGTGCTGTTTTGTCTGAAAACAGGAAGTACATGCAACACAAGATCAGCAGCTGAAAACTAGACCAATTGTGATACTGTCTTAAAATCAGAAAAATCTGAGGTCCTATGCAATAGTAAAGGAAATGATGCTAAAAAGGTTGATTGTAATACAGTGTAGCTATCAAGAAATGGGTCCTCAAAACATCAAAGAGGAATGAATGCTTACAGGTAAATCTGTATTTTAAAAGCCAATTCATTGTATTAGGAACAAACATGTCAAGAAAACTAAAATGCATGTGAAAGGAAATACTTTTCAGTTTGGGAAACAAGTTGATTTTCAGTATCCTACCCATGCTACAGGATTTGCATGTTAGAGACAGTTCTGGCATTGGTCTTTCAACATAAACAGAATCCTGAGAAATTCCTGCAGCTGAAAGGCTGTGACTGCATCTATTGACATTAGAGACCAATTTCCAAATTTCTGGGAAAAAAAACCCTGCCTCATATAGGATTTTGGTGTCAGCACTTCCAGGAATCTGGAGAGCAGCAGGAGCACCTGAAGAGGGACCTGAACATGTATAGATGTTTACTTTTGCTTGTCTTGCTTTTTGAGATTGATAGTTGTTTGGCTCAGCATAGGGGAAAATGCACTTATACTAGTTCCAAGGGTTTGTGCTGGGGGACCTAGGGCAGTCATACATGGAAGTAGACTGTAGTAAGATTTTAAAGAATACCTGCTGCAGAAAAAGCTCTGTATGGTTATGGTTTTCTAAAGTATAAGTCTCTTTCTTTAGAAAAAACAAATAATTATATTCTTCCAAAGTGGCACAACTTATCTGGAATAAAATTAATTCGCTCATAAATAGGAGTATTCTGCAACACTATTCCAATCAGTCTCCTTCTTAGACAAAAAATTGGTTTTGGAAAGCACAAAACAAGTTGACAGTATATGAGTTATTGAATATTATGTGTTTCTAAATTAAATGATGTTTTTCGTCATATTGCTGTGACTGACTTTAAATAAAAAAAAAAAAAAAAACAAAACATCGCAAATCAAAGATCTTTTTATAAATAAGTTTGCAATTTCTAGAATTCCAGATACAAAACACACTTTAAAACCCCCTGGCTCTTGCTGCTGTTTCACATATGGAGCTCAGCTTTTCAGCTTGTCCTCTATGTCCAAATAAAGCACTCTGTCTGTCAAAGCAATTTCAGGTAAAGTTTTAAGGGTGGCTTTTCAGATGCCTTATGCCGTGCTTAACAAAAGGGCTGAGAGGGGAACTGACAGATTATAATCATACAGTTGTCATCCTTTCTCTACAGGCATCGAGCACCAACACAGTGCAGAATTACTGGAGGAAGAAGTGGGGGGGTTTTCGTCATGTCACTGTAACACAACAACTGTCAACGTGTGTGATAGGGAGACAGATCTCCTGACTTTCAGCTCCTCATCCTTAGGGATAAATCTACTAAGAAGCAGCTCAGTACATAGGCTCACAGCTATACAAATATAAATATCTAAGTGCCTGCTTACCTGAGGGTTACAGTGCAGCTATATAAAATAAATTTGCACTTCTCAACTGTCAAGGCAGGGAGCACTGTTTGGATATTCCTTCTATGCACACAGCAAGGTTTCCATAATGGGGTGGTCTCCCATCACACCACTTGGGTAGAGCAGAGAGAGATAAATCCTTCTTAACATGAATTTGCTATTTTCTTCCAAAGTATCTGTTAACCTAATAAAGCTTTTTTATGTATAGCATGACACGAGAAGGAACTTCTGTGTCAGTAGTTGTTCTGTAACTGCAAGATTTGAGGTGTATTGATATCTTTATTGGTTTAAAAACACAGACATACTAACTTAGAAAACAGTTATTATGCTGACATTAAATTAGAATTAGTCTCTACCAGTATACCTTTTCTTAATTCAGGAAGACTTTTTTACCACTTTTTTTTTTATTTCCTCACTAGAGACACCCATTTTTCTTAACATTTGAATGATATTGTGGGCAAAGAGTATGAAATACAAAAGGTATACAATACAAATTCACAGCAGTGGATGTATACGATTGTTTTTTGAACTCTGGATGATGGTTAGGTAGGGCTTAACTGTTTGACATGCAAGTCTGGCAAGTGATTAGAAAAGGATTTTTGGCCTACGCTAAGCAGCAATGTTATGCAGTTTAATCAGACTAGGGCACTACATCCCACATGTTCAGAAATAAAAGCCATTTCTAGTGCATATCAATAGGTCAATTTCAGTTTATCTTTATATTCCTCCTCCGATGTGGAACATTCCTGAGATGACAACTACATTTGAGTGGGTGTCACAGATAGGGAATGCTTAATTAAATATAAAAAACCCCACTGCATAAAAGTCTATGGTACTAAAAAAACTCCACTGTGTTGCACAACACAGATATTCAGATCTTGTCAGCAGTGGCAGAAACATGAAAACTTCCTATTCTGAAAAGTCACAGCTTCTGTAATAGTTGAACAACAGGAAAACATAGAGCTGCCAGCAGTATGGGATATAAGGCAGACAGCTCAGTAGTGCTGGAGGGTAGCAGTGCCAGGCACAGGTTAAGTTGCTATGTGTTTGTTATAAAATAACTGTGTTGCTGTGGATGTTGGAATTTATATTTATGGAGTCTCAGTACACTGATATAGCATGTTTCTGGAATAGCTGTGATCTTCTGTAAGATTGCTCTGTAAGTCTCTAACTGATACCTGTTTGTTTTCTGCATCCAGTGTCTCCATCAAAAGCACCCAACTGGACTTCCCCCTCCTCCAACTCTTCTGAGAGGCAAACCCATGCCTCAGAGAGCAGCTGGACAACCAACTCGGAGGACACCAGCAGCCCAAGCATTGCTCCCTCCTACACAGATCTGCAGTCAGTCAATACTGAGGACTTGACCAGTGGTGGAACGTCTGCAGCAGATTCCGCTGGTAAGAGGGAAGCCTTCAGGCTTCCATCTCAATCTTTTTGATGCTACTCACACTCACTGCCCAAAAGCGAGCTACAGGGAACGGATCCAAAGCAGGACAAACTCAAAAGACTGGGCAGACTAACACTTTGTTCTAGTCCAGTTCTCAAAAAGGCCACATGTGGATACGTGCAGACTCTCAAAGTAAGAGCCAAGTGCAATCTGTTGGTGGACTTGTATGAGTGAAATGTTGGAACATTTCTGGTTTTCACATACTGGATCAGCTTAAGCTGATCTCGGAGCTAGTTCTCAGTATACTGTAGGAGAAACTTGGATGCCCTCCCTGAACTTCTGTGCAGAAATTTTCTTAACTCTCCAGTGTATTCAGCTGAGGCAGTTCCAACTCTGCTTCGGTGAGTGCCAAGACACAGATCCAGGCTGCTGGATGCATTCTTTGCACTGTGCTTTGCACTGTTACTGTAAAGTAATGCAGAGATACTGTAGGATATGACAGAGGGTGGTTCAGTAGCAGATTTTGATCATTTAAAGATCCTTTATTTGAACTTGTAGGGATCTATTCAGATGGCATCTGACTGTGGAAAAATGTGCTGCATGGCATTGTAGCTCGTTGTTCCTCAGTGGTACTCTAGATCTGTGAAGCAGGAGAAATAAAGCAGAGCAGTGCCACCTGTGTCATGCAGAGTTGGAATGATGAAAACTCCTGAATGACAAAGCAGGCTTTCACAGAGCACAGAAAGAGCTGGCATGTCAGGACACAAAGAGGAAAGAAATACACAGCTCTATGAGGGAGAACCTGCAGTATATTGGAAACTGTTCACCCCAAGCTGAGGAAGATCAGTAGCTACGTAGTTTGGTGATGAAAATTGATTTACAAGTGTCATGATAGCTCTGACATGAGGTATTTAATGTGTTCTCTCTCAGATGGTGAACGTAACAAGATGTGTGAAATAAGATCTGTTTTGGGATAATGGACTTCCTAAGCCCCATTGAGGTCATATGTCCCTTCTATAAGAAACATATACATAATGTCACCTGAAAAGAGTATTATTTGATAGTTCAGTGAAACTGGGTTGGATATCAAGGCAGGTTCATAAAAAGCAGCATGGTGTGTACTGGCTGGGTGCTTAAGAAAAAAGATTTGTGGAGAAGTAGCATTTACTTTGGATAAGTAGGAGACCTATCTTCAAATAATACTGTTACCCCAAGTCTGTCTGACTATTTTTATTTTAGAATACTCTGCTTGTCTGTACCTCTGCATTTGGAAACCACTGGTAGAAATATAGAATAGGCAAGCTGGCATCGTGTGCCAGCTGTTCGGATGCCACTGGGGGCATCAGTTCTGTTCTGATGACCTCATGTCTATTAGGGTGAAGTGTAAGAGTTTTCATCTGGAATATGTGCTGGATATTGCTGGTTTGTTGATTTGGTATAGGTTGCCAAAGGATGACTTGTCACTGGGACTGTCTCCACATGAGCAAGGGAAATGAGGGATGCCCAGTTCACATATAACTTTGCATCATATAGAGAAATGAAAGGCAAAAGTGCTGCTGTGTATCACTGGCATACATATGGAATTATTTGCTATATATGACCAAAAGAGAGGTTGATACTTCAGAAAAAGCTTTGTGTGCAACCTTCTTACTCTTCTTTCTTTCCTAGGCAGTCACAGACTGACATATTTATTAGCAAAACAGTTATAAAAAATCATTCCAATCATCTATATATTTTAAAAGTAAAAATGTAGGTAATATAGGCAAGGCTGTGTCATTCGTTAAAACGTAAGGTACACTACCTTAGTAGTACTGGAACTTGAAGTAAGAAATACATCTAGTCTTCCTACCACCAGATATGGAGTTCGCAAAAGGGCAGCATGACCAAAGCACATCTGTTTGTTCCCGTTGATGGGATGGCTCACAGCCCACCCCCCGAGGTGCCTGCTGGCATCAGGCAAGGTTTGTGGAGGTGAGGGAGCTGAGGACCTGCTGGCCATGGAACTGTTGTACAGTTCTGGCTGCTTTTCTGCTGTTCACTCTGCCTTCATCCTACCCTCACAGTAAGTGGACAAAAACGCATGATCACTTTATTCTCTCCTTCCTTTCTGTCCCTCTTCAGAAATTCAGTTATTCAAACCTAACCTGACTTGAATCAAACCTTTGATTTGTATTTCTCTTCTCAAAAAACTGGCTGCCTCAGTCTGTAGTGGAGTTTGAAGGCTCCATCAAGGCAATGAAATAACATGTATTTTTTCCACGAAGGAAAAGAGAGGAGTCTTCATGCTCTATGATGGTGAAGTCATGTTGACTGTGAGACAATATGTTGACCCTAAGGTCAGGATTGATGGAGAGGAAAAAAAGAAACAAATTACTTTCATTGCTAAAAATCCCAACGAAAATAAGAAATGTATTTTTGATCTACTTAATGGAGGTAAAGAATTGGGTCTGTAAGAGTAGCTCAGATTTAATGTTGTTTCAAGCAAGGAAAACCTGTTGGGGAGAAAAGCGTGAAAAATTCTACACAGTGGTCAGACACTGAGTAAATGTTTTAGCCGTGGTGAATTTTTATTGCCTGAACACCATAGAAGAGAATCCAGGATACTCTGCTCCGTAATTTCACCACTGGTCTTGAATTTATGCTGCATGCAAAATGCTTAAGCATCAACTGTTTGTCAAAGCTCCAGGCATGGGGTTTTGCGGGGGAGCAGATGAAAGCCTGAGGTAGGTCTGACTGCAGCCACAAACACAGCCAAGTCCCAGCAGTGTGAAGCCACATCTTGGTGTCCAGGGCTGGCTGGCCTCAAGCAGGTGAAAGAGGCCCAGAATCATCTTCCTCACAACTGGTATAAGATTTGAGCATAAAACAATTCCATGGGCTTGAGCTTTATCTAGTGCATGTGTTTATGTAAGATATAACCTAGGAAGTTATCTGAGAGAGATGGTAGAGAGCTGAATGATCCCAACCCAAGAACTTACCCTCTCTATGGGGGGGACTGCAGAAAACATCCTGGCTGATGGAGTTGGAATAAGCTCAGTGACATCCTGTAAAGGCAGCAGAGTTCCCAGTGGTGAAGGTAAATATTGCATGAGCAGGGCCGAAAAAGTTATTTTGCTTTTTGATCACAGTGCAGCTAGAAGATGCTGCGATTTATTGTCTGTGCTAGTTTGAACCCTGGCACCAAAAAGCCTTTTGTATTATCTTCATCTTTGTCAGCGTGGTTGCTATTTTAGCCTGCAGCAGCTAGCCAATAAATTTGGGTCAAGTGATAGCAGACTGCTCATTTGACGTGGGCGTGTTTATATGGTTATACCAACAAGCACTTTACAACAGCTGGGGTTTCACAGTGTGTGTGAAGCTGCATTTGGTGCTGGTGAAGTGGCCTGTTGCCTCAGAGCTTCCTGCCATGCATCACCATGTCACTCAGCTTGGATCAATGAGCGTGGAAAGAAGCAGGAACTTTTGGCATCTGTGCTGTACTCTGCAAGATAAGTAACACAGGACATCTCTGTTACTGATACAATACAAGTATTTATTCATTCTGAAGCAGATGCCTGTCTTAGCTTTCAAAAAAAGCCAAATATCTACATGTCATAGGAGCAAGGGAGAGGTCTTCTTGTAGCTATTATTATAGATGGGGAAGCAGTGAGATCTGTTCTGAGGTTGTACACAAATACCTCACAGCTTGATTTGTATTTCTGCATTTCACCGTTCATCTCTAAAATAATTTTTAATTTGTATAACTTAAAATTAAATATTGACTTGTATATAAAATAAAAATAATTATATATGATTAATAAAAATACAATAAAATATATAATATATATTTGCATAGATCATAAACTATATATTCTATTATAAAATTAGTAGAATATATAATAAAATCTATCTGTATTATATAATAATGCTCTCTCTGCGTGTATATACATATAAAAAGCTGATTAGCCTTGTTGACGTAAGTTCCCTGATAGCTCTTTTAGGTGTGTTGTTGCTAGTTCTGTTGTTGTTTCTGTTGTGATTTGTATCTTAGGAGAGCTGCAGCTACGCCATGTTTGATGTTGACAGTTCAATTTGCTGACCAGTTGTTCTCTTTGGCATTCTCCTGAAGCCCTGGGACTACTGGGATACTGAGGAAATGGCTGTGTTATTTTCTGAGAACATCTGTGTGTTTGGAGATAGAAGGTTGCATATGTGACCCCTAACTGCTCAAAATCCAGAAAGTTAATAAACAGCACAAGAAATTAATTCTCAGAATGTTGTTATTTTCAGAGTAAATGGCAAGGGGTTCTGCTGCTTCTATTTTAAAACTTGGAGATGACAATTCTGGCAAGCTCAGCTCCAGCCATTTCTTGAAGGTAATGGAGGGCAAGTACTAACTTTTCAAACCTTTTCTTGATGCTTTTCTGCAGTAGTTCTCTTACGAATATTTCCTCTTTAACTGTAGCTAGCTAGGTACTGAGTCCTGATATGATGATTGCAAGAATCATGTTCTGTGGTTTTCAGTCAAGCAACTTTGAACAGATAATACAGCTGTGGAATGTTTTTACACTGAATGCCAGAAACAGGCTACAAGCTCTGAAGATATTCCATGTTAATTACCAGAGCAAGGGGGAAAACAGCATATGTTGATGGTTACCACAGTTATGCTGTGTAACTATTAACCAACTTGTTCTGGTGTCCCAGTCCCAGACACGTGAAAAAATTTGTATGTGAGAGCCTGCCAAAGCCAGCTGGAGAGACAACAGGACTCCAGAATACCGTGAGCAAATAGCACCTAAAATGCATTCTTGCACAACTCCAACCTGTAAGGACTCAGTTCAGCACCAGAGGCAGGGTTGTTTTTTCTTCCTCATGTCCAATACCAGCCACCAGCTAGCAATTCAGGATTTTTATATTCTAGTTGTTGTCCCATATTTTTCGCAAGGCATTTCTAACTGTAAAAATAATGCATTGGTAGGGCAGAACTGGGAAGCTAGGTCTAGGTAATTCATAGCAGTAGAAAAGTTTTGA